CATAAGAGAACCTGTACTATAACATCCTGTAACTCAGTGGTGTCCCAAATTTTCTGATCAAGACTATGGGGCCACAGAAGAAAGTAGTTGACGATGTAGACTGAGCCTAAGGAGAGTCACCTGGAGAGAAAACATTCAGGCTTTCGCAGAGAGCAAATTGGTCAAGCAACAGCTGTGCCTTCCACATGGCTGACACTGACAAAAGATCTAAGAACTGCAGTCCAGGGTTTCAGGGTAAATCCTGAGGGGATTTGACTGACCTTGTCAGATACAAAAGTTACATTTCTTGCTATGTAGGTCTTGCTTTATCTTGGTCTTAACCATCCAGCAGAAAAGTATAACTTACTTTTCAAAGACGAAAGTTTTGGGTGTACAAACTTGTTAAGCTTTTGTGAGTTGCAAAGGGCTCTCAGAGAAAGATGGCTGGGTAATCAGACATTTTTGAGTAGGGAAATGTAATGGCAATATTTTTAGGCAGTTCAATTATTTCATGATGGTAAAAATGACAAATTTATCCTTTCCTAAGATCAAGAGCTGAAATCAGAATTTTGGCAAATTGCAAAAGGTATTTAATATGTCTGGATCTTTAGCTAATTAGAAACCACTTAGAAATCATGTGGCATTTAAAAGGCAGCTAGTTTCTAAAGAATAGCAGATGAATTTGAATTGGAAGAGAAAATTTAGTTTTCAAAGGTTTTTTTTTTTTTTTTTTTTTTTTTTTTTGGTATTAGGAATTGAACTCACAGCCTTGTGCTTGTCAGGCAGGCACTGTACCTTCTGCTGAGCTGCATTTCTGGCCCTCAAAGGCTTCTTGAAATTGCTATGGTAAGGGGCCGGGGAGATGGCTCAGTAGGATAAGCACTTGATTGGCGGGGGATATAATTCAGTGGCACAGGGCCTGCCTGGCAAGTGCAAGGTCCTGAGTTCAATTTCTGAGAAGGAAGGAAGGAAAGAAAGAAAAAAGAAAAGATTGCTATGGTAAAAAATGTGACCTTAGTCCTACTACCCTGTTTTAAAAGGTTCTCTCTCTCTCTCTCTCTCTCTCTCTCTCTCTCTCTCTCTCTCTCTCTCTTTCTCCCCTTCCTTTTTCTGCAGTGCTAGGGATTGAACCAAGCACCCAGGCAAGACAAAAACTCTACCACTGAGCCACATCCCTAACCCAGTCCTAGTGCCTTTTTAAAAAAAAGAATTATTGAACTAGTAATTCAAACCTTGCAACTGGCTGGACACATATAGTCTAATTACAAAAATTAGCTTAAACTTATGTGTGTCTTTGAAATTGTACATCAGTTCCATCTGAAATATTACACATTATGGCCAGCCAGATAGCTCAGCAGACTAAAGCATATGCTTAGGCAGAGCACAGTGGCTGGGATTTGATCCCTGGCATGCTGTGCTGGCCCCATCCTCGGGGCCCGCTAAGAGGGTGACTGGGACCGGGCGTGGTGGCGCGCACCTGTAATCCCAGCACTTGGGAGGCTGAAAACAGGAGAATCTCTACGAGTCCGATCTACATAGTGAGACACCGTATACCCTGTACTAAATACATAATAAATAAATAAATAAA